CTAATATGTAGATATAATAATAAACAAAATATAAGGGCAGTTCATGTTGAACAATTGAAAGAATGGATTGTAAAACTCGTGTGCATAAAAGATTTAAAAAATAATAGAATTTAAAAAACAAAAAATATTTCCTATTTTTTTCGATCTTTTTTTTAAAAAAAAAAAGTTTTTTGCAACCTTTCTTTAGTCTATGGTCGATGTTACAAAATGACCGATAGGTCATTTTTATCAATCACTTGATTTATCAATATTTAACTATTATTAGTTCGAAAAAAATCCTGAACTATTAGTGGGAAAATTGAAATATTTTGATCATTTACGTAATTTCTCTTACATTTACATAGGTACTTCATATTAGATAATATGGAAAAAATAGCGTTGTTCAAATAGTAAACTGATAGAATGTCGAAATAAATGCAATAAATACACTGTATAATATTATAAGCGTAATATATACATGCTAACTCTTTATAGGATACAGTTTTTAAAAGTTGCATCGTTATATTTTTAATCACTGGCACATTTTGTTTAAAAAACTTATTTTTTTGTAAACTTTATATCAAAACAACGTACTATAAAGCATTTGCTTATTCCATTTTCAAACGATTTTAAATAAACATATATAAAAAAATTGCGAAACTTTCATGTAAGCAAACACACACCAGGCATAATTATATAGCATGTAATTTTCTGGGAGATTCATCTTTTCGTCTTAAGTTTAGTAGTAGAAAATGATAAACATGAATAATCAGTTTGTTGATAAGTCATAAACATCGACAAAGAGAATGTTACGCTGTATTTAGATGGCAACCCAATGATTAACCTATCTATATTTAATTATTTTATTGTTAGAATTGATCTACTACTGATCATATTTTATTAGGTCTATATTTACAATTGAAAATAATTAACGCAACCGCTCGATATCAGGTTGTCAAAAAAATGCCCGTCAAAACTATTCGATTCATCCAACACCTAAATACTGAAGTAATTCGATATCAGATACATATACGTAAATAAGATTAAATAAATGAATCATTATAGACACCTCAATATTAGAGAATATCTTGGTCATATATTTTCATTGATTAATATTATATTAATATTATACATTTGACTTCTCGTTATATGTTATTATTGAAAACGCAACAAAAAAAAAAGATTTATTTTTATCATTTTTAATCGTTAGACTTTGTTTTAATCTCTTTAATTGTTCGATTATAAAAAGGTTAACGTTATTGTATCTATGATAGTATTCAAATTGAAATCATGTAAATAACTGTGCGTGAAGGTAAATAATTTGATGCAGAAATTTCTTTTCTAGAGAATGTTGTTTTTACCAGAAGAATGACTAGTAAACAATCTTATAATAGAATTAATAGGATGCAAAATGAATGATTGATAAAATATTGAAATAGACAGAAAAATACACGAACCAGTATAAAAAATAAATAAATATGAATACAATATCGAAGTATACATATCTTCAATAAAAAAGAAGATAGATAAAAATATATCTAGTATCAAAACATCCATGATATTGACATGCAACATAATATTAAAATATAAAGGGTTATAAATAAAAAATGCAATCTTCAATAATATATTAATCAGTATCAAATAACTCCTCAAATGACATCTTTCTTATTTGATCAACATGTACAAAAATTATATTAAATTAAAAATATAGTATATATTTTTTTATTAAGAAAGGATCTGTTTGCCCATACTTAGTTCACGAGATCTCAATATAGTTTTTGAGTAAATGTTATTTAGTTGTTTTATAAGATGCATTCTAATTTTTAAGTTAGATTCAACAGTTTTTTATATATATATAGAAAAAGCTTACGCCCGGGCGGAACAAAAAAGACCCACTTTACCTTCACCCTGGCAAATGTGTAAAAAATAAAAAATAGCAAATAAAAAGTAAATTAAGTTAAAAAAAACAATTGTACTAGCTTTTAATGTAGCTATTATTTTGTTAAATCCCTTCAAAACTGAAATAAAACATAAAACCTGTTTGCCACCTAGCCGTCTCAATTTTCCGCGGGTAAAAACGACCAGGTTACAAATTTCTGAAAATCAGTATAAAAACACATTTCCAATATTTGGCTAAACATAGTCAGATAGTTGTTTGTTTTTTTGTGTTGTAATTGGTTTGGTTTTCATAATATAATTGCTCAAACTCTTTGTGCGCATGAATCAATAAAATTTTAAACAAATTGTACCGACAGATCGAATTTTAATGCATTTATTAACATAAAATTTAATCAATGATATGGATTGCAATAAATAAAATGTTTTAAAATCAAAATTTCTCTAAATTCTTGAATAAAAAGCCATTATTATCAAAGTAAATATTGGAAGGTCGTTCTATTGGCTGATTCCATTTAACAACAGATTCAGGCGATAATGCAAGGAACACTCAAGAAGGTGTGACTAGGGTTTATACAAAAACCGACATTTCAGAAAACCGGTTTTCGAATCTTAATTTTACTAAAAAACCGGTTTTAACCGGTTTTCGAATTTTATATAAAAAATAAATTTTGCTGGAATACTCTGTAATTCATCTGCAAATTTAGTGTAATTTAGAGCAGTATTTGACTGAATTTATTTATTATTCAATTTTATGGATAGTAAACAAAATTATTTTTATTTTAATTAGTAGAACTAAAGAATAATATTTTATTTTGATTAAATAACTTTGAAACTAATTATTCGTTATTCATGCATCATTTTCACTTATAAGAATGAAAATATTTGTATAATAGTGAAAAAAAAATCATTAAATTAAAAAAAAATAAAAGAATAATAGATACATGTTGATACATACTTGTTAATATCAATTTTAGTTTTAAAAACAATTTAGCTAAACTCGGGTATTGTCTGTTCCGAGCAATTTTAATTAATTAATTTTAAACATCTAATTGTTTTTTTGTTTAATACAATATGATTTCAAAAAACTGAGAACGTCTATCGAATTGCTACTTAGACGTGTCCTTTGTTTACTCACAAAATTTCCTGAAATATAAAATACTTGCGAACAAATTATGTTTAATTGTTTTTAAAGTCTGATATAATAATTCTAAGTTTTTTATTCTTTAATTTGTGGCTTCTAGGTTTTAAAACTTTTTTTTAAGTTTGAGTAGAGAAAGTTACTTCTTCAAGGAGAAGTCACACTTATTTAAATTAATATACTCTGGTATAAAAATCGAAAGTAATATATACAAAACCTTTCTGGGAACTATTGCAGACTGATAAGATATCAAATGCTATTGAAACTATATGATTTCAAGAATCAAAACTCTTTCATCTATCTTTTATATTTGGCTATATTTGTCATTTTTCATTTATACAGTGAAAACCGGCTTTTTTCACTAAAAAGCCGGTTTTCGAATTCCATAATTTTCGCCAAAAAACCGGTTTTTAAAACCGGTTTTTGAAAACCGACAAACCCTAGGTGTGACCTTGCACTAAACATCTAACAACTATTGTGGAAATACCTTGAAAATAATCAAATACATACCATTGTTTTCAGATTTTAGTTTAAATTAATCATTTTAGTCGTCTGGATAAACAATGATCTATAAATAATTTGTAATTATACGATAATTGCACTTCGAGAGATAATATATAAAATTCAAATTGCATCCTTGATAGAGATCAAATAATTTAGCAAAATTATTTTCTCTTCAATTCAATGATAATGATAGCCTTTGAATCATTTTGCAAAATATAAATTATTCTGTGTGGATCAGAATCATTAACTCTGTATTATTTTCTTCATTAGCAATTTCACTATTAGTTAGTTATGTTTCTATAAAGTGATACAGTTTATAAATATTTTTTCAAACAACGCAAAAAAGTGCACTATTGGGTAAACAAATTATATTGTAGTTCAAACTTTACACAAATTAGTCTTAATATCATTTTTATAAAATAAACTTAATGGTTTTGCTAAAACCAGCAGATTTTAATTATATCATGAGAAATAAAAAAATCGATTACGGTAACATAATATTGTTTGCAAAATTTAATATTATAAAGATATCTGAAAAAGAATTTTTCTAAGGAAAAAGGATAAAAAATATGGTTAAATATGAAACCGAAACATGATATTGCTTTAAAAACTTAGACATCATTAAATTCGAGAATAATATTTTAGAAGCTACGATCAATTTCGGCGAATTATTGCAACTGATATGAACTCAACTGAAAATAATGATTTTTGTTTGCATCAATCAAACTATCAAACGTACGGTTTAAATTCAATTAAAACGCCAAACAAACCGATTGCTTCAATATTACTGCAACTAAATAGAAATTTGATATATTCTAAAAAGCTATTGCTGTGTTTTATTGATTGATTACACTATATTTATACTTGGCACATTGAAGTAATGTATCACTTATAAAATGAAATGATAACTGCTAAATTTTATGTAAAATATCAGATAAATAAAACTCGTAAAGAGATAAATCGGCTCTATAAAAATGTAAAAACACTACAGACCTATATATAAAATAGTGTGAATTTTATTTTGTTTAAGTTCAGCAAGGATATTAACGCCAGGTACAACAAATTACTTTATTCACGTACTTATCCCCGCTTCGCATGGGCAGGGTGTTCATCAGAAGTGACACTGCTATACGAGACAGCAAGCCGCTGAAGTACTTGCTACGCAAATTCATTTAAAAACTTCTATCATTATCCAATAAATTGCATTTAAATATTATAAATTACATTCCAAGAAAGTGAAAACTACAATAACTAGTTAGGAATCTCAATAGTTTAACTCAGAGTGATAAATCTTGAAGCAAAAATCGACACACGACACACTACATGTCGTCTAAAGGCGAAACTCGTAGCGTAAGTATTAAATAATTAATTTTATTTAATTTGACGTAGCAATTTTTATTTTTGGTAAACTCTTTAAATTATGTTTGCATATTTTTAATTCATATTATTTTCAATAGTTCAATTTATATTCATTGCTTACCGCGATCAACAAATTGGAGTTCTCACGTATCGCGCCGTAGCACCCGAGCGAGGCTACGATAAAGACTAGAGCACCAGCCACTATTAGCACTATAGGAGGGGCCAATGTGCGGCCCTCCATGAAATGGCCAAATTCTCCAACATCTGCGAGGACCAGAGCACCTGATACTAATACACCGAGTCCAGAGATCTGCAAAATAATATATTTAATTAATTATCATTATATTTATGAGAAATAAAATAATGTCATCTGTATTTACAATAGAATTTCCCAAACATTTTGTATTCAAAAACAATTTTATTCCTAAAAAACAATTTAAACCAACAAAATAAATCCTTATCAATAGTAATTACGTTTTTATTGTTTGCTGTTTTGCAAGAGATATAAAATCATATTAATGCCGATTTATAAAGAAATGCATAAAGTAATCTCAAATAGAAAATGAATGTTGCTATGACATATATATAATAAAAAATGTAGACCCTGAAAATTTTCTGACATATTCTGATTTCAAAACAGAGCATCTGAAATTAATACAATAAATCATTATTGACAAAATGAGTTCTCGATGCAAACGAGCTCTACATGATGCACCTTATATGCTGCTAAATTGCGATTTGATGTATTATTCCGCGACGTATCTACTAAAACAAATATTTTTTCTATACACCATATGAGTTATAAAATATATATCAAACTCCACACAAGAAAGCAAGATTCCTCCATCATTTCGAATAACACTTGCTTCTCTTCTGATTCTTATATCGTGAGAAATGTTCATAGCTTTGTTTTATTTCCTGTCACAATTGAGGAACTCGCAAAAACTTCTAAATTTTTCTATTTTGCGGAACCGAATGAAATTCCTACATACATCATTAAAGAATTCTATACTCTCTTTATTGATAACCTATTATATTTATAAATAAATGCTTTGATCTCGTAGTTTATCCAAAACACCTTAAGCACTAAAAAACTCGCCCTCTTAATAAAAAAGTCGATAAAAATATTGTGAGAAATTACAGACCTATTTCATTTCTTAATACTTTTGATAGTGTATTTAAAAAAAATTTGCACCTTAGAATCAATGGCTTCCTAAATAAAAACAATATTTTGTTTCACAATCAACTGGGTTTTTGGTAAAAAACACTCTACGTCTCGGTTTTTAGCCTCATCCAAAATGTTATTTACTCATTTGAAGATGGAAGTTATTATGTCGCCATCTTTTGCGATCTCTTCAAAGCGTTTGACAGTATATCTCATAATATTCTCATTGATAGACTAGAAATGTATACTATTTATTCAAATTCGTTTAAATTACTAACATCTTATTTAACAAACAGAACTCAAAGCGTATATTTGGACAACCGGTACAAAAGTTATATCCAGGAAATTAAATGTCAAAATCGGAGTCCCACAAGGATCAGTACTTGGGCCGCTCCTATTTATTCTTCGCATTAACGACCTACCTTATTGCACAAATCTTTGTGAGTTTATTTTGTTTGCAGATAGCACTTGTCAAACCATCAAATGATCTCTTTACAAAATTGAACAATGTCATGGATTCTGTTTCGAAATGGTTCAATATAAATAATCTCCTCTAAAATAACGACAAAACCCAAATTATCTCTTTTTGTACGGCAACGCGAGTAGCAAATGGTATTTCGCCATGTACGATTAATAATAGTTTATTTGACTCTTTTCCAGTATCTAAATTTCTAGGAGTTTATATCAATAAGAATCTCAACTGGTCAGAACACGTTTCCAACTGCTTATGCTTTAATTATTATATTAAATTATATATATATATATATATATATATATATATATATATATATATATATACAAGTGAATGCATGAAATGTAGTTCCTGTAATTCATAAGCTTGCATGAGGCATAATAATCGATGTCAAGCACAGTATGTTCAAAGTCAGAAATACTTTGATATTAATATGCTAATTAGCGAGCTTTATGGCATACTAGTCATGATGTATGCCACACAAGTTATTAAATCAAAGACCACATTAAATTACATACGATGTCCCAGTAATATTAAATAATTGGAAAATATCAATTTATTATGGTTTTTCCATTTTCATGGTAAGTCTCAAGAGTTTTTTGTATATAACCCCCCTAAGAGCTTGGATGTGGGTGGGGTAAATAGCACCAACTAAACTTTTACCCTGACAAAGGTGTCAACAATAAAAAATAGTAAATAAAATAATAAATAAAGTTAAAAGAAGCAATTTAACATAAGATAAATTAAATAAATAGTAATTTTAACTCTGCTGATGTTTAACTCTAAGGATGTCAAAAATGTGCAGATTGAATTTATATTTTGCATTGGATGAATATTTTAGCTATTATTTTGTAAATTTGAAATTAAAAATAACACCTTAAGACTGTTCTCCCCCTGCCTTTCCCATTTCATTCCGGCTATGGAGTAAAAATGACCAGAAGACAATTTTTTGAAAAACAGCAAATAAAATGCATTTCTACAATGATGGGAGTTTTACTGAAGATAGTCAGACAGTTGTTTGTTTAATATCTATTATTTGTTGTAATATAATTGATTTGGTTATCAAAATATAATTGCTCAAAGTCAAATTGTCTCTTTGTGCCCCGCCTTACCCTACATAACTGATGAGATTCATTTATGAAACTAATTGCTGAAACATTTTATATTAGACAATACTGATTTTTGAAATTACTCATCTAAAACTAAAAATAGTTAAAAATTTTGTCTGATGTGAACTTGTAAAGTAAAAAATAGTGTTTAATGTAAATCTTATGAGAATTACGAGAGCTCCTACTTACTTAAAAGGAACCCAAATTACAGTAAGTGAAATGTAAGCAATAGCAATAGCTTTAAACGCTCTTTAAAATATTCTGATAATTTGATATTAATAAGAAATATAATTTTTAGGAACAAAATTGTCGTATTTGGCTGCATGTAAGTTTGCTCTACACAAGTTATCACAACAAAAAGCATGGAGCAAAAGCGTAATTTACGGTATGCACGTAGAAACAGTATTTTCAGCGTATTTTATTTGACCATGCAAATGCATAAGCATTTATTAAACGTATAAAATGTATATATATATATATATATATATATATATATATATAATATTTGTGTACATATACACATTTATTTCCCAAGGCTGACAATTTAACTCACATTTCACCTGATCGATTTTTCCATAAACTGTTTTATGAAATGGACTGAATCAATTTTTCATAAAATAATTTATTTCTGATTTATTACCCGATAACCTTCAATATTTATACATGTGTTATTTTCATGTTAAATAACTTTCTCATATTATATGCACTAAAAAATTGTCTATACATTTTTATTCTATTTTATTGAATTGTTAAAATATACAAATAGGCACCTTGGCACATAAAACAAGGTTTCCCTAAAGTGTATTTTTTTTTTAACATTATCCAACAGCAATCAGAACATATTGTTGTTCTATGGCTGTTTGGTTCAATATTAACTCAAGTAGAGTTACACTTGAGTATAAAAGTTGGCATGGTAGATAACCCTCCAATGAGGATTACTAGACGAAAGTGTAAAATTAAATAAAACATTTAAAATTAATAGTTATTAAAATTTACAATTATACATATTAAATATTTATTTAAGCTAAATTGATAATAATGCATAATAATAATTATTATAATGGATAAAAAAAATCCATCGCCGATGTCTTAAAAACAAGTAAAGTTAAGAACTTTTCAACAACAATATTTTGAAGCAGAGGGAAAGGAAAAATGTTTAACCAGCCATCACCTTCATTCTTACGATTTTGGAGATAATCGGCAATGTTTGTAAATCCATAACAAAAGTATTTTCTTTCATTGTTAGTCTTTGTGGTCGTGAGCAATGTTTCTTATTGTTAGTTTACGAGATCTTAATATATTTTTTTAGTATACGTGTTTTAATCATTTTATAAGATGTATTGTGAATTTGAAGTTAGATTCAACAGTTTTTCTATATAATCTGTATAAAAGCTTGCACTTGGGAGAGGTAAAACGAAACCAACTGAACGTTTACCCTTGCAAAGGTGTAAAAAATAATAAACAGCAAATATAAAAGTAAATTTAGTTATAAAAAAGCAATTTTACAAGAGATAATTTAAATAAATGGTTTCTAACAAAATATCAGATCAAGGTTATTTACAGTGTTATCTCTGTAAAAATGCACCCATAAAATTTATATTTAGCATTGGATGAATAATAATCCTTTTAAAATTAAAATAAGATATAAGGCCTGTTTGCCCCCTAGCCGTCCTAATTTACCCAGCCAATGCGGTAAAAAGAAACAGGTTACAAATATTTGAAAAACAGCAAAAAAAAAACACATTTTTACAAAGATGAATAATCTGAGAGTTTTACTGATTAGTCAGATAGTTGTTTGTTTGATATGTTTTATTTGTTGTGATATAATTGATTTGATTTTTACAATATAATTGCTCAAATTCTAATTAAACCTTTGCGCCCTGCCCTACCCTACATGATTTTCAATAATATTATATTTTTATTCGATGCTTTGAATAAAGTACTTGGATAGTTCATGTTATAGTCGCTTATACTTGTCTAATAAATGTGTCTAGTCTAATTAAATATGACATAGATGATAAACACACATACATAAATTTCTTGTTAGGAATACAAAAATGAATAATGTAAACATTTAAAAAATTAAATGAACTATATTACAATTTAATTTATTTTTCTCTTAGCTAAATAGTAAATTAAAAAAATTATTGCTGATCAAAAAATTGTGGCACACCTAGTCTTCCCTATAGTTTTCTAATAGAGTCAAACAGTTAAAAAACAGTTCATTAATATGTTATTATAGGATGTTAATTATTATGAATAGACGTTCTGCCATTTATACATTGCTTCTTTGAAACTTCTTACTTCCAGATTTACTACTCTATCTTTTTGACTTCGCTCACAAAGCAAGAAGGAGGTTATTGTAACTTCAAATTATATCTAATAAAGAAAACGGCTTATTTGCTTTAATTGTCTTAAATTGCACTAGTGGGCTACAAAATTATCTTGTAGAATAGAGCGATATTGAAACGTCTTATTATATGAAGAATTCTAATTAAGCCGGTGATTAGATACATTAGTAGCGTGTGCGAGTTTTTATGATAGCTGCAATCATGATGCTCCAT